TGGAATTCATTACCTGTAAATATAAAAGAAACACTACCTGTTTATAAATTCAAGTCTCTACTCAAAGATCACTTACTCACCCAAAAACCAATAAATACTGAATAACTGAACCTTATAAATTGTATATCTTAAATGTTTCTCACAATTATATCACATAAATGTTAAACCTAAAACCCAATCTAACTTTATTATTTTTTAAATACACTACCTAACAGAATCCTTCATATGACCTGTCTTTGTAATACTCACTTGTGCTTTATAGTAATCTGTTTACATTAATGTTTTATCACTGACTTCATCATTGCTTAGTTAATCTTAAGTTAATTTTAAGCCAGCCCGTAATGCTATGCATAGTATAAGTGGCTTTGGCATACTGCTCTTATCTGTATTTTTTGTACCTCTATGTGTGCACAAATTTATAATTTATAATAATTCTAGTGCAAGTTACTCATAATTTCATTTACATGATCTCTGGGTGACTTTTTTTTTATATTAGTAACTCGTAGATCCTTCTGATGCTTTCATTATGTTACTACATGTATGATAACATGATGATAACATGTACGTTATCACTTGTATGTTATCACATGTATGATAACATGTATGTTTCTCATGTATGATAACATGATAACATGTATGTTATCACATGTATGATAACATGTATGTTATCACATGTATGATAACATGTATGTTATCACATGTATGATAACATGTATGTTATCTCATGTATGATAACATGATAACATGTATGTTATCACATGTATGATAACATGTATGTTATCTCATGTATGATAACATGATAACATGTATGTTATCACATATATGATAACATGTATGTTATCTCATGTATGATAACATGTATGTTATCACATGTATGATAACATGATGATAACATGTATGTTATCACTTGTATGATAACATGATGATAACATGTATGATAACATGATGATAACATGTATCTTATCACATGTATGATAACATGATGATAACATGTATGATAACATGTATGGTAACATGATAACATGTATGATAACATGATGATAACGTATCTTATCACATGTATGATAACATGATGATAACATGATGATAACATGTATGATAACATGATGATAACATGTATGATAACATGATGATAACATGTACGTTATCACTTGTATGATAAAATGATGATAACATGTATGTTATCACATGTATGATAACATGATGATAACATGTATGTTATCACATGTATGATAACATGATGATAACATGTATGTTATCACATGTATGATAACATGATGATAACATGTATGTTATCACATGTATGATAACATGATGATAACATGTATGTTATCACATGTATGATAACATGATGATAATATGCATGTTATCACATGTATGATAACATGTATCTTATCACATGTATGATAACATGATGACAACATGTATCTTATCACATGTATGATAACATGATGATAACATGTATCTTATCACATGTATGATAACATGATGACAACATGTATCTTATCACATGTATGATAACATGATGATAACATGTATGTTATCACATGTATGATAACATGATGATAACATGTATGTTATCACATGTTATCATTAAGTACCTTAATTTCCCCTTCTTCCCTTACCATTATTACAGACATCTATCTACATTTACTTCCTCAGTCAACTATCACTCCCTTTACTCAGTTTACTCAAGTCATCCTGAAGAAATTTAGTCGTCTTCTTTGTTTATTTTACCTAAGATTTTCACATCATCTATAGTAAATATACTGATATAATTTTGTAGTCATTCTGGTAAATTATACATATAAATTTAAAGTATTTTTGGAACACGTACAGATCCTTGTGGCGCCCCGCTGGTGACATCTTCCCTGGAGGACGTTTTTTCTCTTATGTCTGTTCTCATTTTTCCCCTCAAATGAAAAGTTTTTGTCCATTTTAATAGTGTACATTCTACTCCTATATTTTGCTATATCCAAATTGATCTTTAATTGAGAATTTAGTGAAAAGCTCTCGTAGAGAAAAGCTCTCGTAGAGAAAAGCTCTCGTAGAGAAAAGCTCTCGTAGAGAAAAGCTCTCGTAGAGGAAAACACTCGTAGAGAAAAGCTCTCGTAGAGAGCTTGTCACTAAATTCATTTGGAAATGTACATTTCTCAAGATTGATGGGCTGAACATTGACTCCAGGTTTAGGGACTGACTGCTTCAACCTCCTCCTCATCTTTCTTTCTTATTCTCTGTACTAGACTGAAGAAGCCACCGGCTGGCGAAACGTTTCCTCAGTAAAAAAAATCCCAGTTGTTGCAGTTATCGGTTTTCAAAACCATTTTCATCACACAATAGCTTAGAAAATTTCCTGTACATGAATTTGCAGACCAATAAGCTTCGTTTTGCACTCCAAATATTGTATTTACTGTTCCTTGGTGTTTTTTTTTTTTCATTTTTTTTATAATAGCTGTCAGTGAAACTAGTCTTACAGTTTAAATGTTTAAATATGGGTAGGGTGTGTGTGTCATCGTCCATCTGTCTGTCAGCTGAACCTCGGCTAGTGGAACAGTAACTATTTTCCAGAGGTAAGATTTTTTTTTTCGCACGTTTAAAGCGCAGTGTGATGCCTTCTCAGGTCCTGTTGTTTATGTCTTGTTAATATACGAAAGCAATGTCTATTTTTTCCAGATTTTCGTTATTTTCCTATTTTTCATTTCGGCTTTTTGTTTGTGATTCAAATCTTCTTAAATTTGTTTTTGATTCAAATAATTTTTATTTTATTCGGGTTCCAAGTTTTTTTTTCATAGCTCTCCGCACCTTCCGTTATTATTTAGTCTTTTATATATTTATTTTTTTTTTTGGAATGAACTGTCTGATTTCATTTTCTTATACCGTATTTTCCGGAATACAAGACAAGCTTTTTTCTCCCCACAAAAAAAAAAAAAATCTAGGAAAATCATCCTGCGTCTTATACGCTCAAAGTCAGAGTCAAGGATAGACTTTAGCGGTTGTTTACTAACGTTACGTTACAACTGCTTCCAAACGTCGTCTTATATGCTCGTGCGCTTTATATGCTCGTGCACCTTATATGTTCATGTGCCTCATATGTTCATGCGCCTCATATGCTCGTGCGCCTTATATACTCGTGCGCCTTACATGCTCGTGCGCCTTATATGTTCATGCGCCTTATATGCTCATGCGCCTTATATGCTCGTGCGCCTTATATGCTTGTGCGCCTTATATGCTCGTACGCCTTATAAACCGGAAAATACGGTATGTTACAGAAATGCTTTGTGCAAATTATATATATTTTTGTCTCTTGAAATATTAGATCTCATCTAGTTTCTCTAAAATACTATTTCGATGTTTTATAATGTTTCATATAATTTAGTTGTCCCTATGTGTTTCTTTTATATTTTGTAAGTCGTATTTAACTGTATATATTATTTCAAATAGATTATAATCTCTCTTTTCCAGTGGATCTAGATGGTTTATTTTGAGAATAATATAATAGTAGTGGTAGTAGTAGTAGTAGTAGTATTAACTATTAGGTGTGGTAACAGTAGAAGTGGTAGTAGTAGTAGTAGTAGTAGTAGTAGTAGTAGTAGTAGTAGTAGTAGTCGTAGTAGTAGTCGTAGTAGTCGTAGTAGTAGTAGTAGTAGTAGTAGTAGTAGTAGTAGTAGTAGTAGTCGGAGTTGTAGTAGTAGTAGTAGTAGTAGTAATAGTCATAGTAGTCGTAGTAGTAGTCGTAGTAGTAGTAGTCGTAGTAGTCGTAGTAGTCGTACTAGTAGTAGTAGTAGTCGTAGTAGTAGTCGTAGTAGTCGTAGTAGTAGTAGTAGTAATAGACGTAGTAGTCGTAGCAGTAGTAGTAGTAGTAGTAGCGTAGTAGTAGTCGTCGTAGCAGTCGTAGTAGTAGTAGTCGTAGTAGTAGTAGTAGTCGTAGTAGTCGTTGTAGTCGTAGTAGTCGTAGTAGTAGTAGTAGCAGTAGTGGTAGTAGTAGTAGTAGTCGTAGTAGTAGTCGTAGTAGTAGTAGTAGTTGTAGTAGTAGTAGTAGTAGTAGTAGTAGTAGTAGTCGTAGTAGTAGTAGTAGTAGTGATCGTAGTAGTCGTAGCAGTCGTACTAGCAGTAGTAGTAGTAATAGTAGCTATTAGGTGTAGTACTGACGATGTGTTGCATAATTTTTCTCGTGTCGTTTCGATCACTTGCTGATGAATAGGAAAAAATTCTTTCCTATTTTTTTTTTTTTTTACATTTCAGCTTCATAAGTTTATTCCTTTTTCCCCCGTATTTCAGTTTATTTCTTGTTAATTAAAATTCCTAATTGAAATATTTTTTTTTATCCTTTCACGTTCATTATTTCATCAGTAATTTTCTTAGTAAGTTACGTCTCTCTCTCTCTCTCTCTCTCTCTCTCTCTCTCTCTCTCTCTCTCTCTCTCTCTCTCTCTCTCTCTCTCTCTCTCTCTCTCTCTTCTCATTCTCTCTTCTCTCTTTCTCTATCTCTGTTGTCAGGTTCTCAGCTTTCTTGAATTTTTATTAACAAAATTCACTTTTATATCTATCGTCTTTTTATTATACCACTACTTTTGCTTCCCCTTCTTGTCTCCTCTATTCTGTCTCTTCTCCACCTGGAGTACTTGTCATGGATTACAGTCTAGTTAAAGATATGTTTTTTTTTTTTGTCAAGTTTAGTTTCTGTCAGACTATATTATGTTTCTTCTTCCTTATAATGTCCTTCAGCTGTAGTTGTGTGTGTGTGTGTGTTGTGTGTGTGTGTGTGTGTGTGTGTGTGTGTGTGTGTGTGTGTGTGTGTGTGTGTGTGTGTGTGTGTGTGTGTGTGTGTGTGTGTGTGTGTGTGTGATGTGTGTGTGTGTACGTGAATTTAGTGCATGATTTACATATTCACATAATTTAATAATCGACAACTTACGCTTCCTCTCTACGGCACTTGCTGCCATTAATTTAAATAATCCCAGATTACGATAATAAAATAAGATTGAACATAAACACAGCATCATTGCATCAATATAATTTTATTTGATGTGCTCAGCATGTAAATAAATATATACCTTGGTATAGTACTTCACAGCTGCGTTTTTGTCTTGAATCCGCTGTAGTGTTGGTCTTCAGGGAGAGAAGAAAGTGTTGTGTTGGTGAGTCCGGCACCTCTCTAACCACTTTGAAAACTGCTGATAATTATGGTATCTGTGATAACTGGGGTATCTGAATGGTTTCACTGAATTGAACTGTGTTTTGGTGGAAAGAAAGAAAATGTTGTAATGCTCGATATACTGGCTGTGAAACCAAGAATGCTAAGTCTGTTAAAAAAAAAAAAACGACTGAAACCTGCAATCGTTGGGTTTATTTACACCGATTCAGATTTAGTATTAAGTTGTGATGAATTGTTTTGAAAACCGACAAGTTTGGGTAGGGGAGAAGGAGGGAGTTGAAAGAAAGGGAGGGTATGTATGAGTGTGGTATGCTGAGAGAACCCAGTAGGTATGTCAGAGGGCGCCTGCGCATGTGACAATTAACATACCTCTGATATCAACTTGTGGGTGATGTGGTCAGCCACCGGACTAAGAGTGTTGATGCTATCATGTGGATGTTTGTATTGTGCTTATTGAGTATATAACAGTAACTATTAAAGCTATTTAGAATAGGTGTTTTTTTAATACTATGTGTGTGTGTTTTTTAGGAGAGCTGCTGGTATTTTGATGTGTGTTTTTGTGTAGATGTGGTTACGATAAGCGTTTGCGATAATCTACAATACCGTCGTTCTACACGAATCCCAAGTGCCCGACGCTAGCTACATTGCCGCTATCGTCGGGGGCTCCGCGTCAAGCCTGGTCAGCGCTGTACAAGGGCTCCTGGATCTGCCGCAATGCTCACTTTCTGTTGATTCTGAATCCATACTGGTCCCACTCGACGCCCTGGCGACGGAGCTCCTCGGCGAGGCGGATCTGTTCGATGGCGTGAGCAGGGAGGGGGGGGCCCGTGGGGATGAGGTTGGACTGTGGGCGGTAGCCGAGCTCGTCAGCGACGTACTGGACCTCACCGATGGTGCCGTCATCGAGAGGGAACCTGAGGGAGGAGAACGTAGGCGTCATAAAAAAGAAAAGCGAAGTGATTCAAAAGGCGTTCGCCTTGATGCTGACTCAAGGTTCTTGATTCAAGTCTTTCGAATAAACCTATTCTTCTTTAGAATAAACCTTATTTTCTATTATTCTTCAGTCGCTGTATGAGCCTTATGTGTTTAGCATTTTCTCAAAATATCCATTCAGTGTTGTGAGGAATTTGCTGATATTTACTGGTGTCTTTTAGAGAGACGAGTTGAATGAGAATTGTCACTATTGTTGTCTGACTTGTGAGTCACGACGGGAAACAAAGGAAGGAAGGTAAAAGTTAGGGAGGATGAAGTGAAGGTGGAAAGTTGGTATGTGTGTGTGTGTGTGTGTGTGTGGAGGACGGGGTGAGAGGGAAGGAAGAAGTAATAAATCTGGGGAGAGAACGAGTGATAACTGGAGAGAATGACAGTGGCTGGACGGCGTGAGAGGGAAAGATAGGAGAGGTAACAAAAGATAACAAAAGAGAACTGGTGGCGGTGGCAGATATACAGGACAGACGAGCGAGAGCAAAGAATCTAACAATGCTCACTCTCATTACTGGAAAAAATAATAGTTTTCCAGGAATCTTTAGCTACTGATGCTCTGAACAGATATAGTTCGGACCATCACTGCATCACTAAATTGCTACCCTTTGTATAGTAAAACTAAGTTCTCGAAATCGGAATGTACAAACTCAACTTGGCAAGGTATGTGTCTCTGTTGCCTCTAGTCACTTCTGCTCTTAGCTGACCACCTTCAAGAAAAAGGTAAAGGGTACCTTTGATGATTGTAAATTGATCTTAATCAAAGAAATAATAATAATAATAATAATAATAATAATAATAATAATAATAATAATAATAATAATAATAATAATATAATAATAATAATAATAATAATAATATAATAATAATAATAATAATAATAATAATAATAATAATAATAATAATAATAATAATAATAATAATAATAATAATAATAATAATAATAATAATAATAATAATAAATAATAATAATAATAATAATAATAATAATAATAATAATAATAATAATAATAATAATAATAATAAGGGAAGGATACTGAGTGTAGGAAGGTCTACTTTTTTTTTTCACACGAGAACGGGTCTTCCTAATCGTGAGATTGAGAAAAACGAAGATTCACTGTACAGGTTTCGTCTCTTCTTGTGGGTCATCCACACGAGTTACATCACCAGGGAGGGACACTCACACAGCAAAGATGTTCGTATTAAACACTCACACAGTGGTAGGATACTCTCTCAAGAGAAAGGTATATTAACTTGAGGGATAGACACTCACATGAGAGGAGTACTTGCAGGATGGAAAGATGCGTAAGAGAAAGATACTCAGGAGAAAGATACAGAAGAGAGAGAGAGAAGAGAAGAGAGAGAGAGAGAGAGAGAGAGAGAGAGAGAGAGAGAGAGAGAGAGAGAGGAGAGAGAGAGAGAGAGAGGAGAGGAGAGAGAGAGAGAGAGAGAGAGAAGAGAGAGAGAGAGAGAGAGAGGAGAGAGAGAGAGAGAGAGAGAGAGAGACAGTCACCAGAAAATCCTAAAATGAGAGAAAGATCGTCGAAGGATGAAATTATTCTTGCACAAATGGAAGATATCACCTGAGAATGCGCTCATACGAGTAAAAGATAATTAAATAAGAGAAAGATAAACACAGAATGGAGAGACGAGCAAGAAAAGAATATTCGCAGAAAAGACTGACACTCTCACGAAAGACGAAAAACACAATTGAGATCATTACCCATTAGTGAGACGAAAGAGAGACTGAGGAGTCCTGGAAGACGAGAAAATCTTAAGGCAGAAGAAATGTATATTCGTCAACATATGCTAAGCCCTTGAAAGTACTAACGTACGTTGAAGGGCTTTTGAGTCCGGACGAAGGGCTCTTGATCCAGATAAATGGGGCGTCCCTCCTATTCCTTGAGTGAAGCTTGCTTACCTATCATAGGTAAATGTAATCATGCGTGTTTGTGTTTGAATGTGCACAGTTGTCATGATTTATCTTTAAGGCAAGAGCTAGGGAGGGATAAGGTGAGAGATGATAGTGAGGATGACAGTGAGAGGTGGTAGTGAGAGGTGATAGTGAGGGGGGATACTGAATGCACTATTGACCTAATGTGCAGGTGAAAGTTACCTCTGTGTATGTGTGTGAGAGAGATTACCTATTTATAGTCACAGGTTCAGAGCGATACTGCTGGTGGTCCGGTTTCGTTATTATTATTATTAGCATTCTACCTTTTCTCCAGGATGCTAGCTCCCAGGTACCTGTTTACTGGTAGGTGGGGAGGAGCTGCAGGTGTAAGGAGACTAGTGTCCAGGTACCTGTTTACTGGTAGGTGGGGAGGAGCTGCAGGTGTAAGGAGACTAGTGTCCAGGTACCTGTTTACTGACAGGTGGGGAGGAGCTGCAGGTGTAAGGAGAATAGCGCCCAGGTACCTGTTTTCTGGTAGGTGGGGAGGAGCTGCAAGTGTAAAGAAACTAACACCCAGGTACCTCTTTACTGATAGGCGGATAGGAGTCGAACCTGTGTCCTTTCGGGTGTATTCAAACTACCCTAAATTCTAAGTCACTTTCTGTGTGTGTGTGTGTGTGTGTGTGTGTGTGTGTGTACTCATCAATTTGTGCTTGCCTATTTGCGGTTGCAGAGGTGGAATCACAGCTCCTGGTCCCGCCTCTTCGCTTGTTGCTACTAGGTCCACTCTCTCCCTGCTCTATGAACTTTATCTGATCTCTTCTTAAACCTATGTATAGATCCACTTCCTGTGTGTGTGTGTGTGTGTGTGTGTGTGTGTGTGTGTGTGTGTGTGTGTGTGTGTGTGTGTGTGTGTGTGTGTGTGTGTGTGTGTGTGTGTGTGTGTGTGTGTGTGTGTGGTGTGTGTGTGTGGGTATGTGTGTGTGTGTGTGTGTATTGTGTGTGTGTGTGTGTGTGTGTGTGTGTGTGTGTGTGTGTGTGTGTGTGTGTGTGTGTGTGTGTGTGTGGGTGTGTGTGTGGAATGTGTGTGTGTGTGTGTGTGTGTGTGTGTGTGTGTGTGTGGGTGTGTGTGTGGGTATGTGTGTGTGTGTGTGTGTGTGTGTGTGTTTGCTTTGTACGAATGCAGAATGTTAAGCTACAGGTAGGCTAGTGAATCTATTTTTTATAAGAGTTCTAATTAGAATCTTTCTCAAGACTTGAGAATAAGAGCGGACGAAGATTCGAGCCTTCACCTCTGTGCGTCCAAGAAATTCATTACCATAGTGTTTGACTTCCATGTTTCAGGGTGTTATAGACATGTTTCTTAAGATATGTGCGAGGCCAGTGACAGACTGGCCCTGAGACTTTGTGTCTCCTCTCCGAATGATGAGTCTAGATAATTATCTGACATACTGAAGAGCTCGAGTTTCTTCCTGCAGGAGACAGAAGGAGAACTCGGAGGATGATCTTCCCGCAGAAGTAGGAAGAAGGATTTTGAGAGATGGTCTTGGTGAACGAGAGGAAGGACTACGATAGATTACCTTCCTGGAGGAAAGGGAAGAGAAACTTCGAAAGGTCTTCCTGGAGGGAAGGGAAGAGAAACTTCGAAAGGTCTTCCTGGAGGGAAGGGAAGAAAGACTTCGAAAGATGATCTTACTGAAGAAGTAGGAAGCAGGACTTCGAAAGATCGTCTTTCTGGAGGAGAGTGACGAGGGACTCAAAACATTAAATTCCTGCAGGAAAGTGAGAAAAGACTTGCGGGATGGCCTGCCAGGATGGGTGAACTCACCTGAAGAATCCTTCAATGTTGCTCTGGCCCTGAGAGCCAGGCGTGCCGACAGCGTTGACATGGATGCCATTCTCTGTCTCAAACTCGTAGCGGAAGTTGCCATCACCACGGTCCTCCCGCTCGTCTCTGAGGATTTCGATGTGTTTGTATTCGGGTCTTCCCTGATCAATTGGTCGGCTGAACTGCTGCGGGGCGGCGGCGGCGACGGCGGCCAGGCAGGCGAGGACCACCTATGTCGGGAGAAAAAGGATAAAAAAGGAAATTGTTGGGGAAAGTCTTGAAGCACAGCCGCAATGCTAATTCTGTCTGGGTTAAGAAATCCCAGCTTAGTAGTGAGATAACGACTGAGTTTAATCATATCTGGACTTAGCAAAACTGACTTCAGTACAGATGGTCATCTATCCTTAAAAAAATGATTGTTATGAGAAACTGTGAGCTGAGAATTTCTACAAACACAAAAAATGAAGACCATTAACCTAACAACTCTAGACAGCACTCTCTTCATCGGCATATTCCAAGATGCTGGCGAAGGGCTCTCGATCCAGGGAATTGTAGCTACGTTTCCCTTCCTTTAGCCATGTATGTATGATTTCCTCTCATTCCCAGGAACTGTATAAGATTGACGGGTTTAAGGCTTCCTCGTGAACATAATAAGACTGTAGGTTGTACAAGGTTGTACAAGCATACATCTGTCTAGATTGTATATTACATATGTATATATTATCTTTCATTGTTATTCAATTTCAGAGAATGTGAATGGCTGACAAGAGGCTTCCTTCATGCTTCCTCACACTAAGTAATTTTCCGTCTACCCTCAACGAGGCTTCACCAGTATTAGCGACGCCTGAAACACGGAGCTCAGGAGAGGAAAGACGCAGAAGAGATATAATTTTGTAAAGAGGACATATTTCCAGGATTAATTTTCCAGGAACACTCTTTTTTGGTAGCTTTCCCAGTTCTTAAGTGGCACCTATTTTATATAATTCTTAAAAAAAAAGAAGAGGACATATTTCCAGGATTAATTTTCCAGGAACACTCTTTTTTGGTAACTTTCCCAGTTCTTAAGTGGCACCTATTTCATATAATTCTTAAAAAAAAAGAAGAGGAATTAATTAAAGGAAAGTCACTTTTCTCTATTAGTCATTCCAGCTAACAAGTTCCTAGTTTCTAGCAGCCTGATAGATGTACCACATAGTCCTGGTACCTGATACCCTCAAGTATTGTCAGGAACGATATTTCTAGTTCGTTCTTAGCTAAGTCACACTAACACACTTCATTTTCTTCTAAGTGTACAAATACAATTAGGCAGTGTGTCTGGCATGCGATTAGCGGACGAAGGATCGAACCTTCACCACTCCATAAATGACCCACACGGATTTAGTGCTCCACGTAAATTCAATATTAAGAAATCAGTTTAATTTACATTTTGGGGCCACTACTAGAAATAAGTCCTTAGTTCCTAGTCAGGTAAGTCGCCATCTTCAACTAAATCTTAGTTCCTAGCGAGCAGAAGTACAATCAGCATCCGAATTCTCATCAATAGTAAACACGAGTGGATGACTGAGGAACAAGCACAACACTTGGGTACATCGTAGGTTAAAAATATTACCCATTTGTTGTACATGTGTCTTATTCATTAACCCGTCGATATTGTATACTATACAATTGATCCTTTACAATGTAAAACATCAATAGTAAGGTTAAAAAAGTCGAGTTTTAGGCCAGCAGCGGCGGGGTTGGTAAAGGCAGTCCCGAGTACTCACAAACTTCATGTTGGCTGAGCTGGCGGAGAGATGACTTGGGAAGGAGGAAGAGGAGGAAGATGATGCCCTATGAGAACTCGCGCCCTGCTTATATACCCCGAGCCGAGGCCGAGGGAGGTTTAGCCTCTAGCGGTTTTTGCTGCCCCCCTTCCCCACCTCTAAAACCAACCCCCCTCCTAACCTCACCTTCTGTTCCAGCCCCGTCTCCAGGTGGGGGTCGTGGAAGGTCGTACCGGATATGCCAGGGGTCGTGTGAGTGGTGGGGTAGTGAGGGGCGGGGCAGGGCGGACTCTGAGTGGGTGAATGGGGTAGAGGCGGTCCCATCGTGAGGGAGGTGGGGTGAGTGAGGGCGAGGGAGGGAGGGACGAGACGAAGGTAATGAAGTGACCAAGTGGTTCCTGGTCAGACAGTCACTACGTCACTGATGAAAAAAGGAACAGATTTTATGTATTTAACAGAACTTTGATTAAATCAGCATTGTACAGCTACTCTGTGTATTATTTCTTAATAATAATAATAATAATAATAATAATAATAATAATAATAATAATAATAATAATAATAATAATAATAATAATAATAATAATAATAATACATTGCTATCTTATACTTACAGCTGCAGGAACAAGCGTCAGTTATATTTTCTGTTATATTCCTAAACGTAGAATCTGTTTTATTGAATAAAGTAATGAAATGTGTCAGCCGGAGTTGAGAGACTTCAACAGGGTGAAGGAGATATCGACAAGCATTCCATTATGAGTTTAGTAGCTACTGCAGCTTCAGTAGGGGTGGAGTTATAGCTGCTGGCCCAGCCTCTTCACTGGTCACTACTAGGTCCACTGTCTCCCTGCTCATGGAGCTATGTATGGATCCTGCCTCCACTACATTGCTCTCCAGACTATTCCACTTCCTGATAACTCTATGACTGAAGAAATACTTCCTAACATCCCTATGTCGTCAGATGAGTCACAGCTGTGTGTGTGTGTGTGTGTGTAATACACATATTCGTACATGCATACGTACATACAAATACACATAGAAGAAGAGAGGTAAGGCAACTAGGAGGGAGAGGGAGTAATGGAGTCATGGGGAAGGATAAGAAGGTTAAGCTTGGCGTGGGAAGGGACGGTCATCTTCGCCCTCAGGGGCTAGGAGGGACAGCCAAGTCCTAGATGATGTGACATTCAAAAGGTTAGAATGGATAGCCATATTCTAGTTGGTCTGATACTCAGAGGCTAGGAGGGATATGCCACATCCCAGTTGGTCTGACAATTAGAGTCTTGGAGGGATAGTTACATCCTAGTTGATCTATCCCTCAGAGGCTAGGTGGGATAGTCACATCCTGGATGGTGTAAACAACACTAACACTTACCACAATTTACAACATCTGCGGGTTTTCAGCCTTTGTTTTTCTCTCTCTCTCGCTCAACAGGAAGCTGGTGGTGTCATCACAGGACCGTGAAGATTGCATTCAAGTTCGGACCTTCAAGAGTCTGTTTCTTGAGGCTGGTGGAGGGCTCTTGATTTAGTCATTTGGAGTTGCGTTCCCCATCAACGAATCAAATCTGATTACCTCCTATTCCCCTGGTTATAAAAACTCTATGGGTTTAGCGCTTTCTCGAGAATGCAATGATAGTAAGATATGATGTATCAAACACTGAAGACGGTACACCACCAGCATAACTCTGCTGCTGTAACTACAAACACTGAAGACGGTACACCACCAGCATAACTCAGCTGCTGCTGTAACCACAAACAATTAATGTTAATTTTACCAACATTTGGCCAACAACAACAACATATATAATGTAGTAACACTAACTTGAGAGCATGTGAGATAAATAGCAAAATACACGTGTTTTACCCAGCATTCATTAACACATGTAATAAAAAAGAGTTAGATGAATGAAGGAAGATTAACAGAATAAAGGAATATATTAAAATTAAGAGATGATGAAGAAGAAAAATCAATCTAAAGTTAAAAAAAAGTGATTAATTAATTATTAAGTTGATATTTGCAAGAAATGGGAAACATTATTTTTGAAAATGGTATTTTTTTATGGACTAATATGTTAGAGAAACAACACAAATGAGAGAAGGAAATACACCATTCATTGTAAAGAAACATGATTCCAGGACAGAGAGGAATAGACTCCGAGGAGAGACTTAAGGAGCTCAACATGACGACTCCAGAGGACGACTTGTGGAATAGTAAAGAAAAATATTTAGAAAAAGTCGTATTCTGATATGCTTTCTTCAATGTTGAATTCATCAGGTCAAGATGGAGTTTCAACAGATCAAGATGGAGTTTCAACAGATCAAGATGGAGTTTCAACAGATCAAGATGGAGTTTCAACAGATCAAGATGGAGCTTCAAGAGATCAAGATGGAGTTTCAACAGATCAAGATGGAGTTTCAACAGATCAAGATGGAGCTTCAAGAGATCAAGATGGAGTTTCAACAGATCAAGATGGAGTTTCTAAAGGTCAAGATGGAGTTTCTACAGGTCAAGATGGAGTTTCAACAGATCAAGATGGAGTTTCTATAGGTCAAGATGGAGCTTCAACAGATCAAGATGGAGTTTCAACAGATCAAGATAGAGTTTCAACAGGTCAAGATGGAGTTTCAACAGGTCAAGATGGAATTTCAACAGATCAAGATGGAGTTTCTATAGGTCAAGATGGAGCTTCAAGAGATCAAGATGGAGTTTCAACAGATCAAGATGGAGTTTCTAAAGGTCAAGATGGAGTTTCTACAGGTCAAGATGGAGTTTCAACAGATCAAGATGGAGTTTCAACAGATCAAGATGGAGTTTCAACAGATCAAGATGGAGCTTCAAGAGATCAAGATGGAGTTTCAACAGATCAAGATGGAGTTTCTAAAGGTCAAGATGGAGTTTCTACAGGTCAAGATGGAGTTTCAACAGATCAAGATGGAGTTTCTATAGGTCAAGATGGAGCTTCAACAGATCAAGATGGAGTTTCAACAGATCAAGATAGAGTTTCAACAGGTCAAGATGGAGTTTCAACAGGTCAAGATGGAATTTCAACAGATCAAGATGGAGTTTCTATAGGTCAAGATGGAGCTTCAATAGATCAAGATGGAGTTTCAACAGATCAAGATGGAGTTTCAACAGATCAAGATGGAGCTTCAACAGATCAAGATGGAGTTTCAACAGATCAAGATGGAGCTTCAACAGATCAAGATGGAGTTTCAGCAGATCAAGATGGAGTTTCAACAGATCAAGATGGAGTTTCAACAGATCAAGATGGAGCTTCAACAGATCAAGATGGAGTTTCAACAGATCAAGATGGAGTTTCAACAGATCAAGATGGTGCTTCAACAGATCAAGATGGAGCTTCAACAGATCAAGATGGAGT